AGCAGATAACCATGTAAAGAAATCCATCCCAAGTTGACGACAGTCGAGAAAGTAGAAAAAGCGGCATTGAAAACCAAATATTCCGAGTATTGTGCTCATTTTCGGTGTTCCTACTAGATCATGTTTACATGCTTTAATGGCCAAAAAACACTTTGTTTTACCCATACTGTCTATACTGGAACATCTGTATTCACCCTCTGTCTAAGACACTCAGTTTTAGCACCTGTTTCTTACACATTAAGCATTTAGACATGTTCCAGCAGGAATATGATCTGAAACTGGGGACAAACTAACACTGGCAAACAAGGTTACATTGTTTTCCTGATGTTAGGAGCATGCTACATGAAGCAGTGTAATTGTACCGGAGTACAGTAACACTTTCCATCATTAAAAAATGACCAATAAAAGCTTCTAAGCCAACATCTTTACAAGCAGACATGTTCCAGCAGAAATACGATCCGAAATTATTTCCCTTACATTAGCATGTAGCTACATGTAGCAGTGTACTTGCAGCCAGGGAATGACTGTAATGGAGTATGATCCAAAATTGTGGAGAAATTTAAACATTAGAGATAACATGTTTCCCTGATGATGGCATGAAGCTACATGTAGCAGTGTGAGCTACATAATGTAAACCCTTGCAGTAGTGTGTCTGGAGCAGACAGAAATCCATTACAAGCTGACGACAGGGAAGTAGAAAAAGTAACATTGGAAACCGAGTATTCCAGACAGTCTAATGCCTAAGGTTTTTGCTTACAGGGATTACTTTTACATATGTTTACCTGATTATTTGAAACTCTGGCCACATTTAATATGAACATCAGACATTGTAACATTATATAAATGACAGAAAAGACAGAAAAGCATTATAGGTTCTCTTTAAGGCCTTTAACGTTGCTCCTCAGTGATCAGTATTTATGAGTTTCCATGTTAATTTTCTAGCCTATTTTTTCTTATAACTGAACAAACTAATACTCAAAAACACTGACTCATGTATCCATTCAAAAATCAGACATGATTTTTTGCAGTGTGTAACATACCTCTGTTCGCTCAGTTTCCTGTACTTCTCCTTATCTGCTGCATTCAGTCGCAGCAGCGGCTGCAAATGGGTTCTGTGTGTTTTCACATTCTGGTTATCGACATAGACGTCGTACAGCTCCTTCTTCTCCTCAAAAATTTTCTCTGTGGTGCCTTGAAAATGAGAAAAACATGCTCATTCATAAGGAATCATTTCCATAAATTACAGATAGGCTAAATTAACCATTTTCATATTGTAAAAGCTTCACTCACAGGCCACATATGACATCTCTGTTTCCAGAGCAGTGATGTCAGCTATGTTGATGTAGAAGAAAGGCCGTAATTCGGGCACAGAGACACCAATTCCAGGTAAAGAAACGTTGGCCAGGCAGCAACAGCAATACACTGAAGGAGCACAAGAACACAGGAAATGAAACGTCTATATGACAACACTGAGGTTGCAACATCAGTACTTCTATTACATCCTGAAATGTTTGTGTTGAGAAAAACGGTGCAAGTGTGTGTGAGCATGTGTTTGAGCTTCTCACCCCTGTAGCAGACCACACCTACAGGTGGAGGGGAGAAGATGAGGACGCGTTTCCTAAGCAGTGCGAACTTCCACAGCACCATTATGTGCTCCCCGAAAAACTGGATGAACTGGGACATGCAGCCAGCTGGGTGGGTGATCTGCAGGGAGGAAAAAATGACAATATGTTTTGTTGTTGTTGTTGAGAAAATCTACCATCACCAACATTATAACTGCGCTCTGCTGCTTTCACACCTTCATTTCTGGGTGCATACAGCGGTTGATGGTGGTAACACTCCAGGTCGGGCAAGCGGTGACCAGACCATTTCCTGCGGGGGGAAGGACAGCCTTCTTATCCTCATAGAAGGCCTCCAGTGGAGAGTACTGGCCCGGACACTGCAACTGGTGTCTACACGGAAATCACAGGAGGAAGAGGGGGAGGAGAAGAGAGGAAGAAGAATCATGTCAATGAGCAGATAAGCTTGCTTTAAGTGTTAAACACATTATGCATATTCATGATCTGTCACTGTAGCTCGAGCTTGCATCTGGAGGTATTCACTCCATCGCTGTTTGTTATTGTGTGGACGCATTGTGTATTCAGTATCAGACACTATTTAGGTCATCAATAATGCACGATTACAGATGGGCTTGGTTAGTAACCATCACTTGTTTTGAAATTGCATTGTGGGATCATTTGAGGCTGCTCGCATTACATAAACACCACTTTTCTATCTATTTTGACCACTTCAACCATTCAGTACTCATGCTTAACATATTTCTAAACCATTTGAGGCATCTGCTCGCTACTGTCGAGCGGCTGCAATAAAAAAGCCACAGTAACCACGCTCCGTTTAGATTAATTCAGATCCACTTGTATCTGGTGGCAGCCTGAGCCATCTGTATTTGTAAGCCGAAACTGTGGCTGTGTCGTATATTTATACATAGTCAATGCGGAGATAAGCTTTCGTGAGAGGACTGAAGCAGAAGAGCAGAGTTACTGAGGAGAAGAGAGGCTGTCAAGGCTTCTTCCACTTCCGTGCTTAGACTTCATACAAAAACTGCATGTAAATGGGCTCCTGTGACGATCGCTGTAACCGGGACTCTGGGTTCATGTTTAATAGATGAGAACGGTTTTAACAAAGAAGCAGGGAGGTAGGCACATTAAGAGAAACCTGTAAAGAGGGTCGGGGGAGAAATAAATAAGGTAAACAGAATACAAATAGGGTGGTGCAAAGGGGACAAAATACGCAAAAACAAGGACAGAAAGAAAAAGACTGACACACTCAACACGCCTTACCTGACTTGGTTCTCAAGGAAGTGCATGTAGCGGTAAAGCACAGTGTAGGAGGGAGACAGAATTCCCACAGACTTCATCCTCGCTCCTCGCTCCAGCTCACTCTCCACAGGCATGTTGGCAAAACAGGCGAGCCCAAAGTAACATCCTTTACGGAAATATCTGGCCAAAGGCAAAACAAAGATCGGGGGTAAACATGCAGTGACAGATTTCTGACAGGCATTGAATGAACCCAGTGGTGTAGTGGTGGTTGATACGGTGAGAGTATCTCTACATAGAGGGGTAGGTTAATGGGTTTTTTTTTTGGCTGATAGGTGGGTGTGCTGTTAATGGCCAAAAAAAAGGTGGGTACACCCTGTATACCTACGTATGCCATCCACTACACCACTGAACAAACCTATATTCAATATTTAAAGACTGGATTTCATGCTTCCAGATGGTTCTGGGGGGGTAAGTGAGGGTACATACATAAAGTCATTGGTGACCCGATGGGAACCGCTGGCCATCGACTTGAATTCAACTCCGTCTAGGTTGATGTCGTGAGGCAGGCACCACTCTACCATATTCCCTGTCATCCGCAAACACACAAAACAAACCATCATGTCACTTCCCATTGTGTCCACTTTCACCTTGGCCACTTCCCCTAATTCTGTATTTCAGCCATGTACTAGCAGGAGGTCAGGGACAGCAGGAAGGCACTGACTCAACTACTGTAACTATCTATACAATGACCTCCTCCATAAGAAGCTGGTCATCCTGGTCTTGTTTTTTTTGTTCTGGTGGAATACTTGGATACACGCACTGGCAAGCCAGATCAGGAATGTGTTTTCTTTGGAAAGGTTGGCTGATAAAAATAAGGATTATAATTATGTGGGCTGATTGTGAATCTCTTTAATAGGGCCTTGACATTTGAAATGTTTGACAACCCCACCTAGGCTGATATCATACACCCTTCACCTGCATGACTCAGTATAATGCCCCAAAGCACATCACACATTTCAAGATAATAGACATAATTTTTGGAAATTTAGATTTCTAGTCTATAAGTGAGAATCTTAAACATAAGATGGTTTTGCTGCAATCTGATTGTTTACCTGATCTTGTATCAAAGGTAACCACAAACACAGCCACGATCTGGTCCTTCTCCTCCCACTGATCCCTCAACGAGAGGCCGCCGGGGAAGGGAACATTACGATCTGTACCGAGAGGCTCCGGGCGCTCCCACCCGTGAACAGAAAGCTCCGTTCGCAGACGGCCCGGGCTTCCGTTCCCGCTGGCAACAACAGCTGTCACATTCCTCGTCGGGGTGCAGGTGATGGTGGCGGCGGTGGTGTTGGTGGCGGTGGTACTGTCGCTGCTCCGCCCAGTACCAGCCGCGGTGCCCGTCGGTTTCGGCCGCCCGGTTGGCTGCGAAGTTTTCACCGCCGGTGCGTCCTCCTCCCGCGGCGGCGCAGGCGGTGGCGGTGCCGCCTGGTTCGGATCGCTCGGTGGGATTTCCTCCCAGTCCAGCAGCGGGGCTCGGTCCGACTTCTCCACCATGGTGGTGGTGGTGGTGGTGGTGCTGCTGCTGCCTCAGAGGACTCCGGGAAAGGGGGGTAAAATATGACAAAAGTCCGCTGTCCGGTTGAATCGAGCTCACTGAACACGCTGCTGGAGCCGGATCATGGTTTCCTGCTGCTCGCTGGGTTGTTTTCTATGTATTTGTAAGCGTGTCACATCCACTGACGGGCTGCTTTTCCTCCGCCTGTCTCACTGTTTTGATGACGTTGCGGACTTCCGCCCACGTGTCTATATTACTATTTCATGCAGTGACCTAATTCTGGTTATTATGGGCTGTTTATCTTTGCCCATAATATTTCATATTCTTAGTACATTCATATCTTTAATGTGATAGTTGTACTGTAGTCTATTAAATGTCCCTTTATGGTGTTTTTTTTATATTATTTACTTTTACTTTAAATGTGAATTTGTATTTTGTGTGTGTGTGTGTGTGTGTGTGTGTGTGTGTGTGTGTGTGTGTGTGTAATAAACAGATAGATTCCCTCTGTTTTTAGTTTAACACCATATAAAATAGTTTATGCATTTAGCTGCCATTTTAAAGTCAGGTGAGTGGTCTATGAACACTTCAGCCAATCAGACAGCTGGATGTGTTCACCTGGTGGCATTATGGGTGGCATAGTTTATTTAAACAGGAAGCTACTGACATCCAAGACGCGAAATTCAGGCGTGGTGAGGGTGGGAGATGCCACATGTTCGTGAGTACACGTGATAAACACGCATTATCACTCAAACTTAAATTACATACTGATTTGTGTGTTTATGGCCACTATGTGAAGGAATTGTCCTACATGATTTTGATTTATAAAAAATATTCAATAAGTAATGTTGGCTTTCTGATTAAATTATGGGACTTGAGGCCCTTGGTGTGTCAGGGCCTGATGTGGTATTGGGAGTCAACAGTGATGTAGGTCTACTAGTGTAGAGATTTGAGTATAACTTGTAACACACAGGCTTTGTTTCCTCTCAACTTCCTAAAGAGACTTTAAATGAAGGCCTCATAATCTAATGCCATCAGCCCCAGGGTATTCTTGCTCTCTAAGTCAAATGTGGGTCAAGGATTTCACATTAACCTCTGTCAAAACCCAGGCCCCAGGCATGGCGACGTTGTTTGACGAGATCAGCCATCAGCTGGACTTCTCTAGCTGTGAAGAAGAGGGGAGCAGCAGTGACAACAGCTCTGATGACTGCACCTCCAGGATCCGCAGCCCCAGGATCCACAACCCCAGCTCTGCGTGCAGGACGCCCAGCATCCAACGCCACCGCAGCAGAAGCAACACCCTATGTTCCCCTGTGCAGTGCACCAGCCCCATACCTTACGCTTCCTGGAGGAAACTGAGGCTATGTGACTCTCCCAGTACCCCCAAGGTGAGGAATAATTCAGTCCTTAATGTGCCACTGTGGTTTCAGATGTTAACCAGTGTAACTTCAGTGGGATGAGCATTGAATTTCATTCTTTTTTTCCGCCCTGCAGAGCCTGTTATCGAAGTCGTCCCAGCCTTGCTCCAGCACTAAGATAGGTCGTCCTCAGAGGACCCTGCGTTTTGCCTCATCTGCTGCTAACCTCATCCAGGCACCCTCTGTCAATGTGAATCCTTTCACCCCTGAAGCAGTCCGCAGGAGCAGCGAGCAGCAGTGGAAGAGCTGTTGTAGGAGTGATGATGACGATGATTATGGACGCAGGTAACTATGGTTTTAAGCTGTATTTGACATCTGTAAGGGTGGGATAATAAGGGATCATGTGTGAAAAGTTGTCCAAATGTGTAATTTAGAACATCTCGCATCACAGTTTTCACTCTTTATGATGTAGGTGTCACAATAAGAGCTATTTTTAAACCGCAAGCATTTAAATATCTTCATTGGTTGATAGATTTCCCACACAGTGCGCTGAAGGTGAAGATGAAATAGTTTGAATTATTCTTTCTGTTTTTAGCGCCCTTACGCACAGACCTGGCTTTTTAATCCCTTATAAGTGCAGCTGTGTTCAGAGTATATAAGTCTAAAGGCGCTTTTCATCTTTCAGGTTGAAACACAGCCTGGCGTCATCTGAGGAGGATGATGAAGCCTTTCTCCCACCAAAGGTACAACTATTTTTGTCAGTGCTTTCTCTGGTGGATGTAACCCTCCCTCTCAGATGCTTCTGAAATGATTTCATCATCAGGCTTTGTCATCTTCATCTGCCTCCTCGCTTCTTGTTTTGTCCAAAATTACATGCTGCCAGTCCCACTTCCGGGATTTCTCTAAGGAATCTCCAACAAAAAAGATCCGTCAGAGTCTTCACAGTACAGCTTCCTCCTGGAAGTGCTACCATATTTGGTGACGCATCAATTGAAAACCCCCCGGTTCCTCCTGGCTGTAATCAAACTCGGGACTGAGCTCTGTGACGTGTGTGTTCTTTCTTTAGAAATGTCTCTGGTTTTACCACAAGGCCCTCCGTCTGTTTATCTGACAGAGGCGTGCTGTCCAGGCCCTCATGTTGTCACGCTATGAGAGTGAGTTCCTGGAGCTGGAGTGCATCGGTGTAGGCGAGTTTGGGGCCGTTTACAAGTGTGTGAAGAGGCTGGATGGTTGCTTGTACGCCATTAAACGCTCTCGCCGACCCCTGGCGGGCTCTGCCAATGAGTGAGTCAGCAGCATGACACTCTTTGTGCCAGAGACAGATCTGTCCACTTTATTTTTTTGCCCGAATTGATCACATTTCTCTTTGACAATTTTATGTCCCCTCAGGCAGCTGGCCCTCAAAGAGGTGTATGCACATGCTGTTCTTGGACACCACCCACACGTTGTTCGCTATTATTCAGCATGGGCAGAAGACGATCACATGATTATTCAGAATGAATACTGTGATGGTAGGCTCCACCTTACCAACAAAAGCACTGTTTAGCAAGACTAAATATTCCAAACATCTTTACGTGAGTCAGATTGAATGATGTGGCTTTGATACTGTCAATTTGTGGGTGCCAGGTGGAAGTCTCAGCGATGTCATTGTGAAGAAGGAGAGGCAGGGTGAGCTGTTCTCAGAGGCCGAGTTGAAAGATCTGCTCTTACAAGTGTCGATGGGGCTGAAATACATCCACAGCTCAGGCCTCGTACACCTGGACCTCAAACCAAGTAAGTCCAAGTCCTCAGTTTGCATTTCTTGTATTGTCTGAACATAAAGTCTCTTGCCTTATTTCAACTCGTTTTAGGTAATATATTCATTTGCCAGCGCCCCAGCACAAGTGCAGCAGGTGAAGGGGAGAGTGAGGAGGAAGATGACCGAAGCACTTCAGCAGGAGTCATTTACAAAATTGGTATTGTATATTTAATGTTGGATACATTTCTTTCTAATGTTTTTTGTTTTTTTGTTTGCTGTCAAGTGTTATTCCTGTTTTCTGCAGGGGACCTTGGTCATGTGACATCAACCAAAAGTCCTCAAGTTGAGGAAGGGGACAGCCGCTTTCTGGCAACTGAGGTCCTGCATGAGGTAAGTGTCGCACAGCTAAAGGTCCAGTGTGTAGGATTTAGCGGCTTCTCTTAGTAGCAATGGTATATAACATTCATAGCTATGTTTTCATTATTTTATAATCACCTGAAAATAAGTTGTGTTTTTGTTACCTTAGAATGAGCCCTTTTAAATCTACATACAGAGCAGGTTCTCTTCCATGGAGTCCACCATGCTGCAAACACAGACTGTAGATTGGGACATTCGCGATTTTGCATGGGCCACCATAGTTTAAAGCTTTGCTCAGGCCCAAAAAATAAGGTCCCACCATGAATCTGCACAGTTTCTGTCCATGTTCAACCAAGGTCCAAACCATGGCAGCAGTTTTGGGCCTGAGCTTGATTTAAAAAAAAAAAACAAACAGAATCTCTACAGTAAAAAATAGATATGTTTTTGATATTGTAATATTTATTTGAAGCTTCGGGCTGACATGTTTCCTCGCACCACGTCTCTTTCCCTTCTTCTCTTCTTTCTGTTATTACAGTCATCTGCTGCCAGCTCTGTGTCCCACACACAGCGGGTTCAGCAGAGCAGGCTGCGCCTCTCAATGCATGTTCGACTCTGAGATGATGAGCACTGTTCTCCACTGCATGTTGTGCATATCTCTGTCTGTGATGGGGAGTCAGAAGCAAACACTGTCAACTCCCTCGATTCTCCGCTATATTGGCCCGTTGTTCTGCTCTCTATCACGGTCCCCCCTCTTTCTCTCTTTCCCTCTTGATTCAGTCCAGTGTAACTCCTGGCATTTACACCTGAGAGGACAGACCAGTAAATTGGCAAAGCCTGACCTAATTCAAGTCTGGAGAAATATTGAAAAATTACGACCCTGAGGCCCAATTTGGTGCGAGCAGATAATGCTCTACCATAGTTCTGCTACATGCTTGGTACACAGGAGAAGTTTCAGTTCTGCAACCTCACCGCTAGATGTCACTAAATCCCACACATTACACCTTTAAAGGAGGGGGAAAGTAGGCATAAGGGTCTGAGCTGGTTGCACCTCACTGTAGGTTTAAAGACTAAATCAAACATTCAGAGGTCCAACTGTATTTGCATTGTTTTCATGTTCATATTAGCTGTCTCTCTGCCTCATAGGATTACAGCCACCTGCCCAAAGCTGACATCTTTGCTCTGGGCCTTACGGTTCTGCTGGCAGCTGGCGCGCCTCCTCTGCCTCAAAATGGAGATGAGTGGCACAGTCTCAGAGAGGGGCAGCTCCCTATACTACCAAAAGAGCTATCCCCTCCCTTCAGAGGCCTGCTTCAGGTACTCTTATTTCTGGGCTGATCCTCTTTTTCTTAAGTTGTTTGAATATGTAAATCCAATAAAGAGATTAAACTTTTGAGCTGCTACCTGTATGAATGACATTTTATGTAGTGACAGACACTTAAATCACTCTTGTCACAAGCATAGATTGTGAAAATACCTGTCGTCTTTGCTTCAGTTGTTGCTGGATCCAGACCTGACGAAGCGGCCATCTGCCAGGGAGCTTTGCAAGCACACGATCTTGAGGCAGGAGAGGACTGGGGTGGTGGCTGCTCAGCTACGCAGACAGCTCAATGAAGAGAAGTTCAGGACAGCCATGCTTGAAAAGTAAGAGTAAAAACATAGAGGATAATTTAACCAGCATTAACAGTTTTGGGTTTCAGGCCCCTGTCTTTGTCATCATTCATTCATTTTTAATACTCACATGCAGGTTCCAGTTAGTAGCATTCACTTATTTCCATTTTCTCCACAGGGAACTCCAGGAGGCTCGTCAGGCAGCTTTGTCACCCAAGCAGAGCCTCCTCCCTGGGCTGAAACCCACTGTTAAGATGGGGTCTATGCCCAAAGCAGGAAGGAGGCTTGTTGGTGGGAAGACTGCGCGATCCATGAGCTTTGGTTGCACGGGATATGGAGTCTGATTGGACGTCGTGAGGCCCATATGCCTGTCCTTTTTGCTCTGATATGCAACTCCTTCTGTAACCAGGCTGTGGTAACAATGTAGCATGTCTAAATGACCTATACAGCAAGGATTTAGTTGGAACTGATTGAAATAACTGAGTGGATGGAGTGAAATTGTAAAATATGCAGACAGGGGGAGTGAGACCGGTTTATCGCAAGTGGAAGTGGTGAGAGAAGTTGTGGGTGACTGTGGGGCTGTGATTGTAGTGTCTAGTGGGCTGAGCAGTGTGAAGCTGTTTGGCCACAGACTGGCGATCTCCTCCTTGTCCCCCTGCTCTTCCTCTCGTCTCTCCTCCTCCTCCATGAGCATCCTGAAAGCCTCTTTCTCACTGGCCAGCCGCTCATACTCCTGCAGAGCGATATGAGTGTTCATAAGGGTGCAAAGCTGTGGACAGCATTGGTTTTAAAGGACTAATCTGCATAACTCAAACACTTTCAGTGATTTTCTGGCTGAGGGGAGTTGTTGATGCTGCATATCAATCAAGGACTTGTTTTTTTTTTAACTGTAAATAAACATTTTAATCATTCTTATCAGATGGGCTTCCTTTTTTTTAGTGGGATTAGCCCTGCAACTCTTATACCAATGGTGTACATAATAATCAAAAAAGCACATTCAGTTGGACAAAACCACATGGGGAATTTCCAGTGCTGTGTTGCTCTTGTTATCTAGAACTGCAGCCAACTGTGACAGAAGTCAAACAGTGAAGCAGGGTGGACTTACGAAGTGTGACACATCACACGCAAATTCAACGTTTTTGAAGCAGGTCATGTGAAAATAATGTTTATGACAATACTTTGCTTAATATTCCATGGTACCTTGAGTAATGTAGGTGTTTTACACCAGGTCAAATCCACCCAAAGTTACTATAACATAAGCTTTTGTTATCAGTTTGGTTCATAAAGTAGAAACAATTGAAGCTGTAAAAAGATAAATGAAAGATACACTGGACACTTTTATACCCCTTGTCTTTGCAATTAGAGGAAGAATATTTTCATTGTAAATCTCCTGTCCAGCTTGTTTATCCAATCTGACGTTGTGGGGTTTCAGTTTTTGTTCTGTGTTGACTCACCGCAGCGATGTCCAACTGTGCTTGAATGCATCATGTGAGGCATTCAATGCTCCACCTCCCCGGCACATAATGGGAAGATGTGCTGTTGTTATGCTGCTCATAGTTGGGCTAACGGTGGTCGGTGCTGGATGGCGCATCATTAATCAACCAAAAGTTATTTGAAGGAAGTTAAAGGCTGACTTACCCGGTGTGAGAAACCAATGTGAGTGACATTAGCCATAACCTTAACTTACTTTTGAAACTTTTAAGCGATAGTCTTTAGTTTTACGTTTATCGAACGTTGATGCTGGGGAGTTAATGTTAGCTTATGTAGCATAGCTAGCATTAGCTTCTCGTTCGAGCTAGCTTACACAGTTATTCAGAGAAAATGTAAGTGAAACATTAGCTTCGTTGTTTTACTTGTGTGTGGTTTAATTTATTACTTCATTTTCCTGTTAAAATATTCCTTGTTGAAGCTATTGTGCTGGTTTAATTACTTTCCACTTAGTAACATTTGAGTGGGTTAGCAGTGTTTGTTTGTTTGTTAGCGAACGTTGCTAACCTTACCCTCATTATTCCTGTCTAAACTAAAGAAACCAAGAGTGAAACGATGGCGGACCTGGGGAGTCTGACCAGCGGACAAAACGCCGCCCTGCTTGTTTTCGCCTTCCTGCAAGCTGACTGCAGAAGTTCAGAGTATGAGGAGGAGCTTTTCTCCCTGGGAAAGGACCTACATCTCACCCGGGACATCAACTTCAATGGCCCCAGGAAAGACGTCCTGGACGACGAAGACCTTGAAACTGATGGCCACCAGTGTAGCTGCATCGCACCTGCTATACATGATATTCAGCCTTCACCTGAGCTGCAGTGGCCCAGTGAGTAACTACCCGTAATTTTAGTCTGTACAAAGGTCATATACAGGGGATTTTACTGAGTTAATTTCATACCAGCGCAACAAACTGATACCAAATCAGCTGTGTCACGTTCATCTCCAAGGCTTGTTTGTGCCTGATATTTCTGAAAGCAGTATATAAGCCTTTTGCTGGGTGTATCAGAACAAGTGAAAGTATGTAGCTACAAACAGTATGAGGTGACTCAAACCTGTAGTTTAACAAACCCGATCACCCATGTAATGTAGAAGTTATCCTAATTTATCACAGTTGAAGTAGTTTCCAGTTACAGTAATGAAACTTGTGACTTTAAGTGAAAGCAGGAAGTGACAGCTGTCGACCATTTTATGCAAGAGACCTAGTGATGCAAACCTAGCATCTACAGTCATACATCTCTCACTTTATCATCACACTATATATGCTACTGTCACAGAGGTAAATGTGTGGTATTGAAGTCCAGAATATTAGAAGAGATTAAACGACAGTTCATTACTTTATCTTCATTTATAGAACATATATTTCTTACAGTGTCATTGCTGTTAAAACCAGAAACAAACATTATGTCCACTAAAGTGCACTCATGTTTATCTTGTTTTCCTGCAGGAAACGAGGCAGAGGCAGCAGCCATTCAGCAGGTTGCAGAAGGGCTGAGAGAAATTGCTGACCAGATTGAGCACAATGTCGTGGCTCAGGCTACCCAGAACCTGAGCAAGAACATATCTACCTCCCCTTCTGAGGTAAGTGTGCCCTGAGCACAGGAGATGTTAGCGTTAGGATGGTAGATGATAGTAATAAATAGGACAAACTCGTTACTTTATAACCTGACTCAGAGTTACAGAGAAGAGGCAGGAAAATGCAAAACAACAGTGTACAACAGGAGATCATCATAATCAGATTTTATAACTTGCAAATGTTAAGTGTTTTTCCTGGTAAGATCATGTTAATTGTTATTCTTGGAAAATTGTGTGGCTGAGACGGTGAGGTAAATAGTGCCTCTGCTCTGTGTCCTTGAAAGTTAATGTTTAATTAAAGGGTACTTGGATTTCATGATAGGTGGTTTTTGTTTGAGGTCAGAACTCATGCCAGCTATAAAACACTATGGGAAACCTCAGTGATTCATTTTATGTTCGACATTATATTTAATTTATAATATTGGTAGGTATTCCATAATGGTTTTTAATGCGAGAAAATAGACTTACCTCACAGATACACTAGGTGGACAAGATTCGCAAAATGGTAATTTACATTTCAGCCAGAAAAAAAAATCTGTAGTAATGTAATGTAAATGTGTAAATACCAAGATTAAGTTGGAATGGTTTGTACTAATTTTTCCTGCTAGCCCGACTTTATTTGTTTAATAAATCAATGTCCAAACGTGCAGTCGCCTACAGAAAATTCATATTTGGTACTGCTAAGTCTGTGTATTGATTTCTGCACTAATAAAACACCACTTTGCATCAAAATGTTTGACACAAGTGCAGAACCAACACCTCCTAAGCTTATACATGCCATAGTAATAAGATCCATCCATTTGTGTTTATGTTATCACTCTGATTACCACTTACAATAATTGGTAACAGCATTTGTGTTTTGTTTGTGCTTTCTAGCAGTGGAAGGACCACCTTACCCAGGAGGTGGGGAGGGTGATGAGGCAGGGCGTAGGTCTGGAGCATCTACCCCAGGAGCGAGTCATGATGGCTCTCACACTCACCCTGGTGAAGGGAGTGTGCGAGCAGGCCCCACGGCTGCTGAGAACGCTTTTCAACACCGCGCTGCAGTATGTCAGCTCTGGGAGGGCCAGGTGACTTCAGAGCTGCAGGCTGAGAGGAAATAACTAAGAAATCTGTGGTGGAAGACAGCTAAATCTGAAACTGGCATCTGCTCCTCATCACCAGTCGAGTGTGAAAGGAGACACGTCCACCACACAGTAGTAAAAACACTTTTCTGACGAAGGAAAGTGATGATTAAGTATGAGTTTACAGTTGTGTATTGAAAACATGAAATTGAAGTTTGAATTTGACAATTGAAATCTTTCGTCATACTGCCTACGTTTACTCTTGCTTAAAAATGTATCGTTTCATTTTATACTTGAAATACTTGATTATTTTTGTACTCAATTATTTTGCTTTTCACATATACATGTACGGCTATGATATAATGTGATTTGATTAAATACGTTTCTCCTGGGACTTGAGTTTAATTTCAATCTTAAATACTGTGAGATTTTACACTCCTTAAACATTAACACACATTTTAACAAACCAACACAGGAAAAGGTTCTCAAATATTTTTTTATTCTCATCTCAAACAGTGTATTGTAGGAAACTCAAGGTACAAAGTGTCATGTTTGGGACCTTTTGACATCCATCCTTCTCTGTACTCTAACAGTTTCTCTTTGAAAGCGGTGTGTAGTCTGGGTCCATGAGTATTACTGTGTGTAACACTGACTGACATACATTGAAACATCCTTTCTGTAGGAAAGATCTGTTCAACACCATGTTTTTACAGCCATTCATGAATTTTCATGGATTACATTTACCACAGTACCCCCAAATTTTCAAAGAGAAAATATTAAGTGGCGAGGCAGCAGTGAGGACAAAATAGTTTGTCGCCTTTTTAATTCTGTGTTACTGATGACAAATAACTCTGATATAAGTTCTCAAGGGGCAGGGTAGCTAATGTTGTCTACGCTAGTTGCGGGGGACATTCCACCAGAACAATCCACAGTTTCTGTTTTAAAACTCCTGCATTGTGAAATATTGGCTCACTAGTAACTGGGGAGATTTCCTAAGCTGGGTGATGTTCACACAAATAAGTTGGATGACTCTACATGAATTTTGTTTGTTTTACTTTACTTCGAAATCTTTTAACAGCATTCTCTATGCATTAGTGAAACCATACAGACACTGAGCTGTTTTGATTGTCGTTGAAGAACACATTTTTGCCTTTTACATTGTCTTTTCAGGGAGGGTGTGGAGTTGAATTCTTAACTGCCACGGTGGCAGAAACTAGAAAGTTGTGGCATGAGTCAGGTACATTACGAGCAGTGAAGCAGAAGTGATGGGTACAGAGCAAAATACTGAGGACTACAGATGTGGCAGAGGAAGGAAAGAGTAAGGGAACTGCAGAGAAAGTGTGGCTTTGATTAAAGAAGTGAAGTAGCACATCCAGTGAAGTCAATCATTAAACCCACTTACATTAAAGGGACGACTGGATTTATGCTCTGCAGTCACATTCCTGCTGCTACTCCTATCTGGAGTAATACTGCGTAGTGCTGTTTACACAAGGATTCAGGTATCTTTAAAAAATACTGTATGACACCTTATACTGTATGAATACAATCGGAAACTCCATTGCAGCAACATTAAATACCTTGTTACTTGCTGTTTTTAACTTTTTTTGGACCTTCACAGTATATTCAAATTGACATGCATGCTACAAATGCAGGAGCAGCACTGTAACTTAGCACACATTTAAATACTTTCATCCATTCTTGGGCAAAATCTTTAATGTTTCAATGCACAAAAACTAAAATATGCTGCATGTGAAGTGACAAATCTAACCTAGTATGTCTGTTTTATATCAAGCAGTTTCAAACTGACACAGAAAATCAAATTACTGGTTTCTTTTCTTAATCATCAGCACATCATACCTTTGGTTCATTCATCAGAGAGAGCATCAGAATAACTCATCACAGTTAGATGTGGGAAGTATAAATAAATGCCACTTTGCTGCATAGAAAACAAGACGGCTAGAAAACCTCTGTGTTGCATCAACAGTAAATGTGGTTTCTGAGGTTTACCTTAGCGAAGAAGGGAGTGTTGTCAGTGAATTTTCCATTTAGGTAACACTGACTCAAATGGTAAAAAACAATCCAAACAATGAGCCACAGACAAAACAGAAACCGAAACTAGCAGAGGAGGGATACAAGTCCAGACACTTTCCAATCTATGAGATGAAGGGCTGGAGTCTGAAGAGGTTTACCACAAAAATGCAAGTTAACGCAAAAGTGTTAAAGGAAAACATTGAAAATAAGGAGAATAGTGGAGTGCATCGTTTTCCCCTTTCTGTGTTTGTACCTGGTGCAGTGAAGCAGCCAGGACTCCCAGCAGTAAGGTCGTGGATGAGGTGAGATTTTGGTTTGCTGGGGGGCATTTTAACAGATTTCACACCTTCAAAAGCAGAGCAGATTTTTGAAAAAAATGCAACCTCATTTCATAAATCCAACAAGGTTGTAAGAAGAGTCCCACCGTGTGTGTACTAATACATTTATTTCTACCTTAACATCTCATAATTTGCATTCTCCTCCCCTGAGAAAGATTTTTTACTTCCTCCTGTAGCTTATGACACCATAAGCCATTACAGCAACAAGGACCACCAGTGCAGCACCTCCGTAAAGCAGCACTGGAAGCTCTGAATCTGACTCCGGCTCCGGCTGCACTGGTGGCTCCTCGGCTGGGGTTTCTACAGGGGCCGCTGCAGCCGCTGGGACAAGAGGTTCAGCCAGTGGGGCCTCTGGCTCTGCCAAAGTCTCTGGTTCTGGCTCCTCTGGCTGGGGAGGCACTGTGACGGGCTCCTGCTCTGGTTCAGGAACTGGTTCTGAGGTGACTTCTGGCTCTGCTGGTGCAGCCGGCGTTTCCTTGGTTAGAGATGGGGGAGCCACCTCAGCAGGCACTGGGTCGGTGGCAGCAGCTGGTTCTGGCTCAGGCTCTGGTTCTACTGCAGGAACAGATAAAGGTGCTGCTGGTTCTGGCTCAGCGGGAGGGGGAGCAGCAGCCTCAGGGACCTGGGGAGGCAGCTCTGGTTCTAAGGAGATGAGGGAAGGCTCCGCCGACAAGCTCTCAGGTGTCTCTAATACAATGGGATCCTCTAATGAAAGCAGGGAGGCCGGGGTTGTGGAGTCTGCCTCGGCTGACACTGCAACAGGTGGAGCCTGGTCCCTAAATTCTTCCCTAAGCTCCGCCAGCTCACTCTCTGTGCCTAAAACGCTCATCATGCTTTCATCTATCGCTCCCACTTCGCCTCCCTCCTCCAGCAGCTCGGCATCTTCACGCTCGACGTGGACAATGTCCGAGTTTGAGGAGTTGTTTTCGCTGCGCTCCTCAGCCAGAGCCACGCCCTCGTTGCTGTCCAGGCTCTTGACGTCTTCGGGGTCCATCGCACCGACCTGCGCCCAAGACTCGTGGCCGGCCAGCGACACAGGTAGGCTTTCTGTCTGCCAGGAGCTCTGCTCACTGCTGTTGTCCCCGGTGCAGAGCAGTGAGGAGGGGGGGCTGAGCTGGTCAGGATGCTGGTCCCCTGAGAGGATGTAAATGTCGTTGCTGTCTTCGGCGATGGTCACACCTTGCTCCTCGTCTGACTCAAGGCTGAATACTTCGCCCTGTGGTGGACAGACAGAGACACAGATGGTATCAAAATTCTGTATATTGTAAACCAGGTGAGTAAAGACGGTTGAGGCGATACTGAAGTTTGAGGAATAGATGGAAAAGTTAAATTTAGTATTTTGTATGAGTTTGCTCTTTGGGTGCAACATGATAGAAGATTATGAGATTATACAATGCTGCAAAACACTGGGTGAAAATCAAAATAGCTTTAAGTCTGAGTCCACACTCAGTAGAAACACCTTAAGTTCAACTTGTGCACCACCTAGTGGTGTGCAGCTAGTACTGAACAACAGATCAGGAGCCATCTGCAAAGCTCTCCTATTATGTAACATGATATGATCTTGTGGCTATGCATGACTTACACAGAGGTCAGCTTGCTGAAGCGAAATATGTTTTAATAAATCAATCGGTAGAGTCTGCTAAACTAAACATGTCTGACCTCGGAACATTAAAAAGGTCAAACTTTTGCCAAAGCTTGTTTTACAGGTCGGCTTTTCACATAACAAAAAAAAACCTGTCACATAAGGGAGTGACCAAACCAGCCATATCTTTCCCTTTGCTGAATGTGCAGTGATGTGAAGTGGAATTTACAGTATGTGGCTCAGAAACAGGCCAGTGGGTGTTGACAATGAGCACAAAAGAACAGGATACATACTGACATGCTCACTGAGTCTTGAGGGCATTCGTTGAAAACGTTGGGTGAATAAAGAGGTTAATAAGATGTTGTTGTGGATCGCAGTTTGCTACACTTGATTTTGAATGTTATCCTCTTGCTTTGCTCAGTAGCAAAAACTGCTGCCGCCCACACAGCAGCCCTGTGAGTCCAGGTTTAAACAGACCTCAACTTTGGACTTGTGCACATTAACATCTCGGCTTTTAAATTATGGAAGGGCGGCCCATCATAATGCCAGAATAATGAGATATAACTATATCTTATTCTATCTAGTAGCTGCTCTCCTACTCAATGCTATACCAACAACACCAAGAGCCATGCTGGCAGCTTTGTCAGGCTGTACTCAGGCCCTGCAGTGCTTTTAGCTAAATTCAAATTTCAGCATGCTAACATACAGAGCTTTTTAGCATTTGCTAATTAGCATGAACCACAAAGTGACGGGAATGTATTTCAGTTTTGCAGATTATTGGTCAAAAAACAAAGCTCTGGATACATTAAATCATTGATGTGATGTTGGCATTAGACAAAAAGTTATCACTAAAAGTACAGGTCATCCTGTGGAGGACAAAAACGTGAGTGTGGTACTAAATCTCACAGCAATCCATCCGCTTTTTCCCTCAAAACCACAAATGTGAAGCTCAATACCAGCATAGATATTTCAGTCTCAGACAAACACCAGTCACATCTGTCTGAGCAGGTGCAATTAACTGGTTAACACAAACAAAAAAATCCTTTGAGTAGGGTTGGTGCCTGATAAACAATTGATCTGCAGTTACGTAACGACCCAAGCTTGACTGGATTAAAGTTGAATTTTGGACCGGTCCTGGGCACGCTCCTCTGCTGCATCTCTATGCATGTCACAGAGGTGAGACCTGAGCGGATGAGATACAAACAGACAGCAGGTGCAGAGCAGCTTGTTCGTGACTGCGGGAAGCAGAGAGGTTCTGACAGCAAGGACCAACTCCCAGGACCACACTGTCTCAACTGAAAACATGATAACATGTTATTATGAGCGTCCCTGACCACCAATTTGCATCTGATACGCACACCCTTACATTTCTGAGGAGGCATACAGTATGTAAACTATTATTGACCCATGTAAATACAATTATTTAATTACAGGGTCAAGCTG